CATTAACCATCTGCATGAGGAGTGTGTAGGGTGGGAGAGAGGAGAGGGGACCATGCAAAAGCTGCATAGCTGGGGAGTCATCGCTAGACTTTTCCAATCCTGCATATTTGCCCTGATCCTGACCTCTAACTCTATACGGTCGAAAGAGGAAATGGCAGCTTACATGAGTTTTTTTTTTTCCTTCTCATTCTTGTCAGACTCAGTGACCCCTTTTTATGGTTAATATCATGTAACACCCACTTCAAGGAGACTTGCTGGTGCAGTGATTTAGCGACGGATTGCTAACCGAAAGGTTGGTGGTTCAAGCCCACCAGCCGCTTGGCAGGAAAAAGATATGGCAGTCTGCTTCCAGAAAGATTACAGCCTTGGAAGCCCTATGGGGCAGTTCTCCTCTGTCTTATAGGGTCACTGTCTTAGTTATCTAAGAGAAATACCACAAGTGGATGGCTTTTACTAACAGAAATTTATTCTCTCACAGTTTAGGAGGCTAGAATTCAGATTCAGGGCATCAGCTCCAGGGGAGGGGTTTCTCTCTCTGTAGGCTCCAGGGGAAGGTCCTTGTTATCAATCTTCCCCTGGTCTAGAAGCTTCTCAGCGCGGGGATGCCAGGTCCAAAGGATGCGCTCTGCTCCTGGCTCTTCTTGCTTGGTGGTAAAGAAGAGTCCCTCTTCTTGCTGCTCGCTTCTCTCTCTTTTTTTTTTTTTAATTGTACTTTAGATGAAGGTTTACAAAGCAAACTAGTTTCTCATTAAACAAGTAATATACATATTGTTTTGTGACATTGGTTGCCACCCCCATGACATGTCAACACTCTCCTTCTTGATGTCGGGTTCCCCATTACCAGCTTTCCTGTCCCCTTCTGCCTTCTAGTCCTTGCCCCTGGGTTGGTGTGCCCATTTAGTCTGGTTTTTGTGTGTTTTTTTATGGGCCTGTATAATCTTTGGCTAAAGGGTGAACCTCAGGAGTGAATTCAGTACTGAGTTAAAAGGGTGACCACGGGCCGTACTCTTGGGGTTTCTCTAGTCTCTGTCAGACCAATAAGATTGATCTTTGTGTGTGTGTGTGTGTGTTAGAGTTTTGTTCTACATTTTTCTCTAGCTCTGTCCAGAACCCTCTATTGTGATCTTTGTCAGAGCAGTCGGTGGTGGTAGTCAGGCACCATCTAGTTGTGCTGGACTCAGTCTGGTGGAGGCTGTGGTAGTTGTGGTCCATTAGTCATTTGGGCTAATCTTTCCCTTGTGTCTTTGGTTTTCTTCATTCTCCCTTGCTCCAGATGGTGTGAGACCAGTGGTGTATCTTAGATGTCTGCTCACAAGCTTTTAAGACCCCAGACACTACACACCAAAGTAGGATATAAAACATTTTCTTTACAAACTATGTTATGCCAATTGAGTTAGATGTTCCCCAAGACCGTGGTCCCCAGCCCTCAGCCCTGTAATTCGGTCCCACAGGGAGTTTGGATGTGTCTATGGAGCTTCCATGACCTTGTCTTGGTCAAGTTGTGCTGGCTTCACCAGTATTGTGTACTGTCTTACCCTTCACCAAAGTTATCACTTATCTATTGTCTATTTAGTGTTTTTCCATCCCCACCCATCCCCTCCCTCATAACCATCAAAGATTGTTTCTTTTTGTGTATAAACCTTTTCATTAGTTTTTACAGTAGTGGTCTCATACAATATTTGTCCTTTTGTGATTGATTTATTTCACTCAGCATAGTGCCCTTCAGATTCATCTATGTTGTTAAGATGTTTCGCAGATTCATCATTGTTCTTTATAGCTGGTAGTATTCCCTTGTGTGTATGTATCACAGTTTGTTTATCCATTCATCTGTAGATGGGCGCTTAGGTTGCTTCCATCTTTTTGCTATTGTGAATAGTGCTGCAATGAACATGGGTGTGCATATGTCTATTCGTGTGACGGCTCTTATTTCCCTAGGATATATTCCTAGAAGTGAGATTGCTGGATCATATGGTAAGCTATTTCTAGCTTTTTAAGGAATGCTTCTCCCTTTTATGTGTCAAAAGAGATTGACTCAAGATACAACCTAATCCTATAGATTGTGTTCTGCCTCATTAACGTAACTGCTTCTAATCCTGCCTCATTAACATCATAGATGTTAGGATTTACAACACATAGGAAAATTACATCAGATCACAAAATGGAAGACAACAATACTGGGAATCACGGCCTATCCAAATTGATGTACATTTTTGGGGGACACGATTCAATCCATAACAGTCTTTATGAGTAGGAATCAACTGGACAGCAACAGGTTTGGTTTTGCATCGTTTTAACACCCTCTTCACTTTCCTGAAATTAAATTCAGAGGTAGTATAGTCAACCTACACACGTGTTGTTGTTACCTGCTGTCGAGTTTTCCCCTGAGTCATGGCGACCCCATGTGTTACACAGTAGAATTACTCCATAGGGTTTTCTCGGCTATAATCATTAAGGAAGCAGATCGCCAGGGCTTTTCTTCCACAGAGCTGCCGGGTGGATTTGAACCACCAATCTTTTGGTTATTAGCTGATCGCAAACTACTTGCACTACCCAGGCTCCTTATTTGTTTAAAAAAACAACAACAATATAATGATAAAATATAATGGTATAATATAAAGAACAAACACGGAAATAATTAATAATAAAATAATATATTCATTACATAAGTGTTCCAAAAAACATAACGAAGTAGTCAGGTGCTTAGATTTGCTATGAATGCAAGAGCTATAAATGCAGACTGATACAGGTGTGTTCTGTCAGTGCCTCAAATACTATGGGTAGCTTTGCCATTGGTGGCATGATTTTAAAAAATAGTGATCAACTCTTGGTAATGTTCAGAAAAAAAAGGGGCAATTACATAGTTACTCCATTACTTGAAAGTTGAGTGTGTATTAAAACTCTGCAAAAATACTTCGTATTTATACGTATAAGGAGTTTCTGGGTGGTGCCAATGGTTAAATGCTCGACCACTAACTGAAAGGTTGGCTGGTGGAACCCACCCTGAGGTGCCTTGGAAGAAAGGCCCAGCGATCTACTTCTGAAAGATCACAGCCTTGAAAACTCTATGGAATGCAGTTCTATTCTGCAGTGTTCGGGATCACCAGGAGTAGGAATCGACCTGATGGCAACTGGGTCAGTTTTGTTTTATGTGTAAAGTTTAGTTCAATGTTCAGGCAATTATAAACAGGTTTTCACCACATGAAGGTCTGGAGGGACATTCAAAAGCCATGTATGACCTGGGGCAGCCTTCATGGTATGGGAAGGTCCTGTGCATTTCAGGATGTCTAGCAGATCTGGTCTCTCCCTCTCTATTCCAGTCATGTGACAACTAAAAATATTCTCACTATCCCCATATTTCCAAAATATCCTCTAGGAATGGTATTAACTCTACTGAGAACCACTCACCTGTATAATCCACTCAAGCCAGGAATGATTTACAAATGATCTGATTTCAATGTTTTATTTGATTTGCATTGTTGAAGGGGTCCCTTTTTAGTCTCAATTAAAATGGAAGAATCATCTTTTCCCACTGGATTGCTGATTTCTCAACAAACAGTGAAGAGTAGATAGGATCTGTATTACTCTTCATGTATGTATATATATATTTTTAAATAACCATCTCAAATTTTCCACCAGATACTTATGTTTCTCACTTGACAGCCTATGGGTAAGCAGGGATTTTGCCAGCGTTCAGAAATTTCATCACTGATACTGCTATTGTTGCTGGAGAAAATTTTCCTTATTTTGAGCATCACTAGGTTGTGATACAAAGTGCTCAGTGAGAGAGTCTAATTCGTGTAGCTGAAGCCAGGACTTCAGCTGCAAGGGAGACTGGGAATGTGAGTTTCTGACAATTTCATCTTGTTTAGTGGGAGGTTGACTCTGCCACAAAGAGTCATAAAGTGGGTGTATCAGTCAGTTTGGGCTAGGTTATGCTGTGTAACAAACACTCCCTCAAATCTCAATAGCTTAAAACAACGAATATTTCTCCCTTTGCTGTATCAGTTGCAGATTAGCAGTGGGTTCTGGGCTCATTATAGTCTGCCTAGAACCCCTGCTGATGGAGCAGCCATCATCTCACACATAGCTTTTCTCAGTGCCAGAGACAGAAAGCCTGATTAACTGGCTTTTAAAATTACCAGGTGGCCGTGGCACAGCTCAAACTCTGTACTAGGCACAGAGGACAGTCTAACTGCTGTGGGTCTAGTGGAAGGAAACCAACAAATGAACACATTCAAAGCAGTACTGAGATAAAATATCTTTTTTTTTTTCTCTACCATACCACTCTGCCTCTTAAGTTTTCTAAATGCTACACTGCATACAAATGACACCATATATAGAGTTTGAGACATGGGAGATGTTCAATAAAGTAGTTTTGCTATCATTAGCTGTGTGATCTTGGGCAAGTCACATCTGCTCAGCCATAGGTCATTCAGTGGCTTGCGCTAACCTGTGACTTTATAATACCTGCTTTCTATATTGTAAGGATCTCCTAGACTGTGGAGAGCAATACAGTTGTGCAATTGTGGTTGTCCAGTGATGCACTTATATATAGCACAGTGCCTAGCCCAAAGTACCCATTCAATAGACGTTTTTATAACAGTAACCATTTGCTCTCTTCTTAATATGGAATTGGGATGGATATTTAAGAAAGCATGTAATGCATCTACAAAAATTTGCCGAGGGTCCTGGGGGTGAAGAGTTTTGAAACCTTGGCACGTATGAAATCAACAATAATAAATGGGCTTCGACCTCCTCTTCCAAAGGTCAAACACTTCACAACTGCCACTGCGCTCCCTGAGCTCACGCTCCTGCCTTCGCTAACCAGGGCCCCTCCTACTAGCCATCCGCCAACTGCCGCAAAGCCCCGCCTCCCGGGGCGACCCTCCAATCGGCTGCCTTGCCCGGGCCCAACCCCCCGTGCGTCACGTGACTGGCTAGGCCCGCTTCCGGTGCGTCGCGGGCGGATGACGTCGCCGGGCCGGCGTCGCGTCAAGGCCGGCGGTGGCGGCGGCGATGGCAGCGGTGGCTGAGCGGGCTTAAGGGCTCGAACCCGGCTCCCTCCCGCGCGATCTCGGGACTGACCCGGCGCTGCGGCCCCAGCTCTCTCCACTCCTGCTCCCTCCCCGGCCGCTGTCGGGGCGGAGGCAGAAGCCCGGGCTGGCCGCCCAGTTCGTGCCCCGGCTCGGCCCCGGACGGCCCGGCTGCTGTGCGGAGAGGAGGCCGAGTCGGTAAGAGGCGGCGGTGGCGGCGGGGCCTGGAGTCCGCCTGGTCCCCGCCTGGACACCCGGGGCGCCCCCGCACCGGTGTCTCTCTCCGGCCCACTCCCTTCTCGCGTCCCTCCTCGTAACTCGCCGCCCCTATTGTCTGGGCGCAGCCGCTCCCTCTCCCCTCCCTTCCCTCCCCCCGCCGAGGGCCAGATGACTGTCAAACCTTTTGCTCCCTGTCTGAGCCTTTCCTGTCAGTCTTTTTCCCCACCTCGCGTTATGCCCTTAAGTCTTGTAGCCTCTGGGTTATTTTCTGTCCATTGCTTCACGTTCTCCGCGCCTGTGTCTTTTTGGTAATTTTCATTTCTCTACCACTTTGTCATCTTCAGCAGCTTTCACCATCCTTGTATTTTCTGCCATTCTTTTTCCTTTTTTTAAGTTTTCCTCTTCCCCGTGCTCTCTGCTCCCCGTTCCTTTTCTGCTTTCCCCCTCCATAGAGTGTCTTACTTTTTAAAAGTTCCTTAATTCAGATCCCTCCCCATCCTTTCTCCCCTCTCTGGGAAAAACAAAAAAAACTTGCTTTTCATTCTGAAATATCTTTGGGGGATTATATTTCCTAACTTCATCACTTATTACAGGCTTTAAGTTTTATCCTAGAAAATATTAGTGTTCTGGCTGAGCTACCCCTTACTGGGTTCTTCCTGTGCAAAACTGTAAAAAAGATTGGTTAGATTTCTACACAGACATTTGAGTAGCTGTCTTATATGTTGCACACTGACAAGACCTCTTTAAGAAATATTTATCCCTTTGTTCTTTTTACATTAAATACACCCTGGCCAAGCTTCCTATTACATTTTTAATGCGCTGATCTTTGCTGATGGTTTAAGGATGCCCCTGCCATGAGGATTTAAGTTTGATTTTTACATAGTTACATGGCAAGTAAGTGTTGGTGCTATTTTGTTCTCCTTACCTGTCAGATTCTTTCCAAGAGAGAGGAAAGGTCAATTTTATGTTTGCTGTATGTTTTGTGTATTTTGAATTGTGAACAAACCATTTTTAAAAATGACACAGTTGCGTTTGTGTGTGTGTGTGTGTGTGTGTGTGTGTGTGTATTTTTTTATTTCTGAAAAACTGCAAGGGAGCAAAGTCGTAGTAGTAACCCAAAATATATATTTTTTTAAAGTGTTTTATGGTTCCCTTCTGTCCCTGAACAGCAATAGGTTTACAGTCCTGATTACCTTTAATATTTTGCTTAGGCTATCTCAAAATGCATTCATTATTTTTCAAGTAATCATTAGTGAAAAAGAGGCTACCTCAAGTATACTGGATGGCCAGTGTGGCCAAAAGGACAGTAAATAATCCACCCATGAACGATCTATGTTGTATGTTGTTGTTAGGTGCCATCAAATGGGTTCTGACTCGTAGCGACCCTATGTGCAGTGGAGTGAAACACTGCTGGTCCTGCACCGTCTGAATGATCTGTGGAGGAATAGATACTCCTTTGTCGTTTTCTGTTTGTTTTAATATTACAGCCACTTTTATTGTCAGTGTAGGCACTGTCTATGTTGGAATATAGAAGAAGTGAGTTCTCGGAGTTAAAAAGAAAATCCATTTGATTGTTGCTTATTAAATGTGAAGTATAAGAAGGAAATTTCATTTGCAACTTTATATATTAAATTAAAATTACGAAATTATTTGATACCAAGATGGGGAGATTGTTGGTAATGAAAACTATTCACAAGAGGAATTATTGAAATCTTCACTGGAGGAGGGACGTGTCTACTGCTTTGTCCATTTTTGTGTGCTTCTTAGTGTTTTGTCTTACTAGGCACTCAATACATATTTGTTAAAATTAAATGAAAAACTTGATTAATTTGTTTGCTTACGACTTTCAATTAGACATATTCCATACTACTCAGTTATCGTAACTTTTTTGAAGATGTGAAAACATTTTCAGCCGTCATTGTGGAGGATTGTCTTGAGTATTTTCAAATTAAACATAAAAGCATTTTAGTCATTAGCAAGTTGCAATGGCCCATCTATTCATTCCGTTAAGCAGCTATCTTTTCTCTTTCCTAGGGAGCTGTCCTTTCTCTTAATTCATCATCAAGATTGCTTCCAAACTGCACAACACTTTACCTGGATGTGTTTCTGTTTACTATTCAATTTCTTCAAATTTGGCAGTTATTTGAACTTCTTACGTATCATTTTCAAAATTCTGTTTAATTTTGCCTGTTCTTTTACACCACATTACACTGTATTCCCTATACATTTTATGAATCAAAATCTAACAGTTTTTTTTTTTTTTTTTTTTTGCTTATTTGTCTTTCCCTTGAGGTAGTGAAAAGAGAATACTGAAGAATAGGATCTCAAGATGAGTAAAAAGCCCCCAAATCGTCCTGGAATCACTTTTGAGATTGGTGCTCGTTTGGAGGCACTGGACTACTTACAAAAATGGTATGGAAAATAAAGAGTTTTTGACCGAAAGTGCAATATCTGTAGCCTTACATATGTTGGTTAATTGCTTAATTGTACTGACAGTGGCAGAAGCATCAGTTTTGAATGCACATATACCTTATTTCTTAGTTTCCCTACTCTTTAGCAGATTTTTCAGCTTCAGCATTGAAAACCTATTGCCATCATTTTAGGTGTTTGAGAACTGAAAATAACTGTGTAGAATATGAGATGTATAGAGAGTGTTGGTACCCTTGTATACTTACATGAGCTGTATTTGGGAGGTAGAATTAATCCAAATTTCCAGCTTCCCAAGTTTTGGATAAATTTTGATACACAGTAAAACCTGCAAAAACCGGAACGTGTGTAAGGTGGAAATCTGTCAGAGACGAAAAACTCAAATATTTTCTAGTAATAGAGAGCGACAGAAAAGTGGTAAGACTGCACCCTGTCAAAGGTAGAAAACTTGTGAGACCCGGAAAAGCAAGGCAGTTCTGTCGAGTTCTGGCTCTCACAGGTTTCACTGTAAATCTGCTTTTTTGGCGTATGCCAAAAGTAGTCTTATAAAATACAGGATATATTAATGGTTAGCAAAGTTTTTTTTTCACAGTGTACGCTTTCAGAAATGTCCTCACTATTCACTCTCTCACCTAAAACCAAAAGCATGCATGCTGACAACCTCCTTCCCCAGAGGGCTGTAACCGAAAGTCATGTTCAGTTACTGCCTGCCTCCAGTACTAAATCCAGGACCTCTGGGAGATGGGCAGTCCTCTCAGATCTGGATGTTTCTTCTATTCTGGCCATTGCTGGTAAGTGGTCAGTGTAAACACCCTCGACATAACACCTTACACGATGATATAGGAAAAATAGGATACGTGGAATAAAACCAGAGAAAGTAGGGTAACTGGAAAGGAGAGAAGGGGAAGCAACGCACAGGACCACGGTGGGGCCGGGGAGTGCTTTCCTCAGTCAGGTTGGCTGGCCACACCTAGTTCTCCTTTCTTGGAGGGGGTCTCTTGTTGCATTCTTAAGCCCCTAAGACTGTCTTATGGGATCTGTGCTGCCTTAGATCCCCTGAAGCCCATTTATTTTGGTGAGGGGACTAGTGGTTTAGCAACTCCAGGACTTTGTTTGCCAGGATTTTTGCCATTCTCTGTCACTCTAACTGCCTTAAAATCATAGTTGGCATTTTGTAGATTTGCTCCCGATTGATTTGCACTAAGCCACCTCCCTGAGTTCTTCATAGCAGGCGGAGAACTCTTGTTTATTCATCATTTTTGACTTTAGACTAGCCTGGGGTTTCTCTCTTTAGCAACTGGCGTTGGAGTTCAGCACACTCCCCTGACCCGCAGCGTAATGGCGTCTGTCTTGGGCTCTGCTTTGGGACAGCTTGAAACTATAGTCTGAGGTGAGGTGGGGAGGTACAGTTATTTGACCCCTTACCCCAAGCTGCATCTCAGTGGGTAGTTCTTTACTCTTTTCAGGCAGAGAGCGTTCACCGTGTGCTGGGAGGGGTTTGGGGAGCACCTGGGAATTGGACTTCTCTTGGGTCTCTCCTGAGTTCCCTGGCCCACCTGCCTCTGTTTGCTCCAACTCAGCTTAGAGCAGAGAAGTGGTTTTTCTGTAGTTTTTCTGCAGTGCTCTTGGCAAAGTCTTAGCCATCTTAGATTGATGGTCTCAGATGCAAAGAAGAGCCTTTCTTACCAAAGCGAACATCGTTTCTCTCTAACTAAATCCGATTTGACTAAAGTTATTCTCTTGTAGTAACGTATTAAAAGCTACAGAGAGCAGTGAGACAGTTTAACATGCAGACATTTTTGATGTTGAGTCCCTTGAAACCCCAGCTTCAGTAGACACTTATTGGAGTCCTAAGATACAAGCAACTGTTTAACTTGTTACCATCACTGTCACCTAAAAGGAATTACCCACTTTTTTGGGATCCTCTCCTTCCTGAGTCAGCCAGTTCTGCTTTTTAATGTCTATTACTTATAATACTTCTAGGGAACAGTTTTTTTTTTGTTTTTTTTAAAGTAACTGAAATGCCTAGAGGAATTGGATAGGTGATGGTTGCCTCATCTTTTCTTAAGTCTAGGTTTTGTGTTTTTATTTAAAACTATTTCTGAGACTGTTCAGATAATCCTATGGTCGGGTGTAAGTATTGGAAAAATTACTAGTTGAATATTCACAGTTTTACACAGTATTTGCCATTTTGGTTCCTCTCGTTAGCAGCCGTTTTCTGGGTCTAATTGTTGAAGTAGTGACTTGTATGCAAGTCAGTTATTCTGTGCAGTGAACATTACGGTTAAGTACCATTAGACCAGGATAGTTTTTGTAACGGGAGGCTGTCCTCTGCATTGTATGATGTTTAGCAGCATGCCTGGCTTCCACCCACTAGATGTCCGTAGCATCCTTCCTGGTCATGACGATAAAAATGGCTCTAGACTTTGCCAAATGCCCACTGGTGGGCAAAACCGCTCCCACTTGAGAACCACTGTGTTGGACCTGACAGCAACAGAAGATGCCATGTTAGTCAGTAATTGGCTCTTTGGTTCTGATTTGACCAAGAGAAGCTTTGTACTTTGAAGGCACACTGTTCAGTCTCTGTGAGATACCAGAGTATGAAAAATGATACTTCTTTAATGTTAATCTTAAGTTATTTTTTTCCTTTTTTTAAAACAAAAAGTTACAGCCTTTGTGAATTACTTGTTGATTCTTATTAACCTATTCTCTTAGGCCTCCAAACTGACAAAGTTGTAACTGAACTAACTTCCACTTTTGGGAAAGCACATAGTTTAGATTCTTGTAGTCATTTTTTAGGGATACCAATACAATTAGCTTTTGTATTGGTAAGACGTTTATTTTTAGGGGTGAAATATTTGCTAATCCAAAAGCCGTTCAATTTATGACCCTAATGTTTTTTTTTTTTCTTTTTTAAAGACAATAGAAAAGAAAGCCTGAATGAATAGCTAGTCTGTGCTTTTAGAATATTTGGAGTTTCAGAGAACAAATTAAAGTTGTAGCTTATTTTTCATTGTCTTAGGTAGGGTGGTATCATGCAGATGTACTCAGTGATGAAGTTTAGATTTAATTATAATGCCCCTGGGCAATAATGGGCTCTTTAATGTCAGTAAACATTAGCCAGAGTAATTGCATATGATAATCACTGTAACTTGTCATCAATTTGATTTTTATGAGCTCATTTATATGAAGATTTTGGCACTCTGCTGCTGGTGGCTTATTAAGTTAAAAAGCATTAAGAGTGTTGTATATACTTACTGTAGGTAAGTCAGAGGAATAATTTTTTTTTATTGTGACTGTGTTTCTTAATGTCAGTAGTTTCAAGAACTAACTAGGTTTAGTTGACCCTTCAGTTGAGAATTATGTGCTTTTACCATGGGACAAGTGATTAATTACTAAGATGGACTGAATTTTATATGGGGCACAAAAGAAGTTCTCTGAGACATGGTGTCATTAACAGATTTAATTTCTAAATGAGATAATAAACTTTATTCTTCATGTCAGGGCCAGTTTACATTTCATGTAAATTCAAAAATTATTGCTTGAATATCCGGTAAAAGTATAGAAGAGTTATTGGAATGCTTAGAAACTTTGACGTTCTTGTGAGGAGCAAAACAGTTACTTACTGAAAATATGCTGTAATAATTCTCTTCCATCTTCTCTTCTGTATCCTTTCTTTCCTCCTTCCTTCCTTTCTTTCTTTCATATTCTGTTCCATTGTATTCTTATTCTTCTAGTTTATTCAGTACAATTTGAAAAGTTTGAATCCCTATTTGACATAAATGTAGTTTGAATTGTTACAGGCATTGGATGGGGAGGGAGGAGCTGTAATGCAAATATTGTTGCTTCAAATTCAAGACATCTACAAGAGCAGTATATCTTTTATTGAGGAAATAACATCACAAGTCGATACATTACCTTTTCTAATCAATATAAGTAGAATCCCTCCTAGCCTTTACAGAGAAGTGAGTGTAAAGGGAAAGTGATGAGAGTGGCACACCCAAAAAGCCAATTTGTTTGTCTTCTGTGTTAAAGATTTTTCCTATAAGAGGAAAATAGCTTTTAGCATGTGCCCTGGAAGTAAAGGGATAAACTGTAAATTTAGTAGACAAGAATCAAATGAAGTTAAGCTTCCACTTTTAGGTTGGGGGTACATTTAATAGGAAGACTAAGTCTTATTTTTCTTAGGAAAAGTACATTCTTAACTACTTGAGCAAATCACATCACATATTCTTCAAAGTTCGGACAGATAGTTCATCCTTGAAAATAAACTCTATATTGTTTAATGTAGTGATTTTTTTTCCCAGAGAAACTTTGCTGCTGCATCAGTGAACTCATTGACGATTTAGTTATGTACCAGAATCTCTGCGAAGCTGTTGAGAGGCAATCATCTTCAAGTGTTTGGTTGTTGATACTTGGGTCTCCTGTACAGTGAATAACCCTACCTCCTACTGAGTAGTGCGGGTTGCTTTAATTTTTAAAAATTTTGTAGTGTTTTACTTAAAACATTTTTTTAAAACTTCTCTAGCAATCTACATGAAGATATTAGCATGCTAATGTTTACAGTTAACAGTCAGGTATTTTCTGTCTTCATTGTATCCCCCCATCACCTCTGTACATCAAAATGTTGACAGATAATTATAAAGCATTGAGGTAAATGCAAGGGAAGAGGGAGAGTTGAGAAATAAACCTGTGGGGGTCTGAAGACTTAAGTGTTGGAGTTTTTAAAGGTAGCTTTAGTTGTTGACATGAGTCGTGTGGAATGGTAGAAGGAAAAACCTCATTGCAACAAGCTGGAGATGATCTTTTGTGGTCATAATAAAACCTTCATATTTATGCAGAGTTTTACAGTTTACAAAGAGCTCTTATAAATATTAACATCTAATCCTGAATATTGTTCAGTAAGAAAAGTGATAAAATCAAACTGGTTTTGGTTACTGAATTAATTTCTATCTTTTGATTGGAATTAGTCACTTTATAGTAAG